AGTAAATTTACCATGAAGTTCAAATAATGTACCTTAAACATATAGAGGTACTTCATGACCTTCAAGTCAGGATATCAGATAATTCCCCCACCTCTTTGGATATTTTGAATGGGCATCACTGATGCAGAGTTAACGTGATATGTTGAGTAATAGTGGGTAGAATATTTAATCCTTGTGGAGCTGTTTTGCCTCAGGTTTCATTTGTGCTGTTGAAATATAAATGGAATACATACATAAAGATATAACCTTCTGCATTGCTGAATCATTTACAATTTAAAGCAAATGAGATTTATTATTGTAATGTCCAAACATTCAGTGCAAATCTCGACTACAAAGGGTGTTTAAAAATATGTTGAGTTCCAAAACAGGAAGGCATATAAAAATAAGTTACATGATGAATCATGTTCACCACAAAAATGTATTAATGCTCATTCATCTTATCAAAGACCGAGCAAACAGCATATGATTATTAATTTGAGATTTGTGTAGAATTATAACATGGTAGAAATTGTCTGTATAAAGTTTCGAAAAGGTTGGTCTAGCAGTGGGAATGCAATCTCAAAACTTGGTTAAGCTACAAGAGGGTTTTCAATACTGAATAATAGGGTAGTATCTGTTTAATATTTTATCAGGGGTGACATTCATCTCTGGTTTCTATTTATTTACAGATGAATTGTTTCAGTTCTCTGTGACAGTCCAAATTAAAACCTATATAATATTTTTAAAGGCCTGCCAGCTAGAAGAATAGCTGCTAATCATGCCTCTTTGTAATGTGCCTGCCATGGTATTGCCATTTATTGAAAATGCATTTTCAATAGCTTCTCTTAAATTTTATGCAGCAGACATACATTGCTCACTGGAGCATGGTCCTTCTGAAAGAGATGACTAAAGTATTTTTGGGGACTTGTCTTGACACTTTTAAATATAGCCTCACACCAGCAGAACATATTCATCTGAATAACACTTTGTAGATGTTTCTTCCTATATTGAAAACATAAATAGAAATGGAAAACAAATGGTTGCATAGTTCATAAAGATTTATATTGTTGTCTTTTAAATACAAGGCAAGCTCAGCATTGCCAGTGCTGTGAATCTGAATTTTTCAGCGAGCCGCAGCTTTGGATGTAGTGGCTTTGAGGAAACTAGGTCTGCATTTTGCCTCATTAAGTCGACATTTCCATTAATCTTGAAGGGCCTGATTCAGCAGAAGACTACAGGTTCTGTAGCGGGCAGATATCTTCACCAGCAATAGATTTGCCTGCAGCATTATTGGAAGAAAAAGCCTTCTTGTCATGCAGTAATGGAGCTGCCCATAGAGAAGTGGCTTCTGGAGACAACGTTCTTGGCTGTGTGCCTTCTCACACTTTTCTTATAACTCACAGAAGATGGAAGCTGGATTAAAATAAATTACCAGATGGCATTAGCAGGACTGCAATGGATTGAATCATTCAGTGAGGCCTAAACCTAGGGGTTCAGCTTTGGCCTAAGAAATGATTTGCTTTTTTGGTTGGTGACATATACAAGTTGATATATTCCTTGTCTGAAATGCTTTGGACCAGACATGTTCTGCATTTCAAATTATTTTTGAACATTTGCATATAGATACCGAGATATTTTGGAGATGGGATCCAAATCTAAATATGAAATTTATCTATAATCCATATGTACCTTATATGCACAGCATGAATGTATTTTATTTACAATAATTGAAGTAATATTGTGTAGGGAAACATTGAATCATTAGAAAGCAAAGGTGTCACTCTCTTCGCTGCCCACGTGAACAATTTTGGGTTTTAGAATATTTCAGGATGATGGACTAAGGGATGCTCAACTTGGAGCGGAAGCCTATCTGAATATACTTCCAACATGACTATGTATATATGGTCCGCAGAGCTTGGAGAAGTTATTTATGTTCTTTTTAAACTCTTGCATATACATACTGAGATATCTTGGAGATGGGATGCAAATCTAAATATGAAATTCATCTGCAATCCATATGTACCTTATATGCATAGCATAAATGTATTTTATTTACAATATTTGAAGTCATTTTGTGTAGGGAAACACTGCATTATTAGAAAGCAAAGGTGTCACTCTCTTCGTTGCCCATGTGAACAATTTTGGGTTTTAGAATATTTCAGGATAATGGAATAAGGGATGCTCAACTTGGACCGGTAACCTATCTGAGTATACTTCCAACATGACTATGTATTTATGGTCTGCAGAGCTTGTAGAAGTTATTTATGTGGACTATAAACCTGAGAGTACCAGAGATTCTGAATTGTAGTCCAAAAAAGTAACAAACTCTTCAATGGCTGTGTTTTCGAAGGCTTTCATAGCTGGAATCACTGGGCTATATAGCCATGTTCTCAACTGACATTGCACCCACATCTATGGCAGGCACCTTCAGAGGTTGTGAGGTCCACAAGTATGTGGACAATTTCAACAGAAAGGAGGAAACCATGACAATGAACAAAATCTGGTTACCAGTATTAAAAAAAAACTCTAAAATCAGGACAGTAAATAAAAAGGAACACTCAAAAAACAGGAGAATTTCTAACATGAAACAATCAGGGCTAGCTTACACCTCCCAACAAAGAATTCCCCAAGGCAGGAAGCAGTCAGGCTTTGAAGCTGCAAGGCCATTAAATGCTAATCAAGGTGGCCAATTGCAACATTCACACTTGCCTCAAGTAGACACATTCTTTCTCCCATCCTGGACATTCCACTTGCCTCGTTTCCAACAGACCACACAATCTCTGAAGATGCCTGCCATAGATGTGGGTGAAACGTCAGGAGACAAGGCTTCTGGAACATGGTCATACAGCCTGGAAAACTCACTGCACCCACTCTTATTGCTATTGGATAATGTCTAGATCAGAAAGGAAAATCGCAACCCCTGTAGACTATTCCACCATTGAATTATGAGGCAGGTGCCAAGGCTCTTGTCTATAGCTTATATAAATTTCCAACATCCCATTTTTAAATGGATGAGTGTGTCTCTGTGTTTATCAGTTCTAATAATGGCAACCTTCTTCCTGATACTGTGAAGATAAAACTCAGGCTTGATTTTCTTTTGAAAGTTTTCTGGCAATAGCTGCTATAGTGATTTTATAGCACTAGGCAGAATACTGCCACCCATCCTGGTAACTCCAAGATTACCTATTTTGGTGATGGAAGCAGAAAGGAAGAGAATGTCTTGTCCCTGGGCTTTTTAGAGTAGAAAGCAATAAGCTTTAAGGCTGTACAATAAGCCTTTAAGTAGAATCCTAGGTATAATCAATCCTCCATGGAATCAACAGCCAATCACCAAGAAATAGGTAGATGTCGGACTAGATTTCTCTCTCCCTCTCTCATTAGAATGCTATAGGCTCCAATATCTTTGAGTATTTTAGCTTATACCATCTACTCATGTATCAGTCTAGAGCAGTGTTTCTCAGCCTTGCTAATGCCATGACCCCTTAATACAGTTCCTCATGTTGTGGTAACCCCCAACCATAACATTATTTTTGTTGCTACTTCATAACTGTAATTTTGATACAATTATGAATTGTAATGCAAATATCTGATATGCAGGATGTATTTAAATTCACCAAATTTGGCACAAATACCCGATATGGTATTGGTGGGGTTGGGGGCATTGATTTTGTCACTCGGGAGTTGTAGTTGCTGGGATTTATAGTTCACCTGCAATCAAAGAGTATTCTGAACTCCACCAATGATGGAATTGAACCAAACTTGGCATACAGAACTTCGATGACCAACAGAAAATCCTGGAAGGGTTTGGTGGGCATTGATCTTGAGTTTTGGAGTTGTAGTTCACCTACATCCAGAGAGCAATGTGGACTAAAACTGTAGTGGATCTAGACCAAATATCCAATATGCCCAAATGTGAATACTGGTGGAGTTTGGGGAAAATAGACCTTGACATTTGGGAGTTGTAGTTACTGGGATTTCTAGTTCACCTACAATCAAAGAGCATTCTGAACCTCACCAATGATAGAATTGGGCCAAATTTGGCACACACAACCCCCATGCCTTGAAGGGACTCACTGCCGCGAGCCTCCCTCCAGCCTCACATGCTCTCCCTCACCCGCACATGCGCACCATGCTACCATGTGCTGAGCATGTCTGCTTTCCCCTCACTACTTGGAATCTCAGAAACAGCCCTCCCCTTAGCTGAGCGTCTGGCCAATCATAGGGGAGGAGGGTTTTTGGTGGAAGGATTCACCATCTGTTTCCAAAAAGGAAGAGAAGGACAAGCAGGGAGATCTTCAGCCTTCTCTGCCAAGGGAGTTTCTAAAACCATCAGAAATATATTTTCTGATGGTCTTTGGAGACCCCTCTGTAAACCTCTCATGGGCCCTCCGGGGGTCCTGACCCCCAGGTTGAGAAGTGCTGGTGTAGACATTTTAGTAAAAAAAATATCTCAGTAACCTGGGTCAACTTATCCTTGGGTCAATGTAAGAAATGTACCTTAACTCTTATCAAGAAGATTAGAATGGCAAAAGATAAGAGCTTAGTCCAACCCAGGAGAACCTAAAAGAAGCACTGACCTCTTCTATTCTTTTTGCTATTACCATGCTTCTCAGCCTTTTTTAAATGCCGTTGCAGTAATGGTGTTGGCAATCAGGGCATCTGGCCTCCTGAGGCAACATTTGTGCTTTACCCCATTCATGTAACGATCCTTGACTTATCCATGCTTCATGTAAAATCCATAATTTTGGCCCCAAAAACTTCCCTTGATTTATACGTCAACTTACACATGAGTATATACAGTATTTGCTCTAATTATACTTCATTGTTCACCTGGTTTTCTGCAGCAACCCAATGGCATTCTTCACCGTGGCTTTTCTTTTTATGAAAATAATTAAAAGTGTGCTGTAATCCTCTAGATTTTTCTCTTAGTGGAATTATGTACTCTGATAAGTTTGATGCAAATAGTGATTGCCACGTAAGATTGACCACCTGTCTGACCTGGAATTATTTTGCTTTTTTAGCTTTGGGCTCTTCTCTGACAAGCTGCCACCATGGATATGCGAGTCTTCATAGTTGCGGGTCTGCTGGTACATTGTGTGTTCCTGATCTCTATCTTTGACATTTATTTCACATCTCCTTTGGTTCATGGCATGACTCCACATCAGACTCCTCTGCCACCCCCAGCACAACGCTTGGTCCTGTTAGTTGCAGATGGTCTGCGTGCAGATTCCCTTTATGAACTGGATGACAATGGCACTTCCAATGCCCCTTATCTCAGGTAAATATTTTTAGGGCTATATGAATGCTTGCAACAAAAGCAATAAAGAATCACAAGGCATCTTGTGTAAGATTAATACGTTTATGATGGCATGATCTGTTGCAGACTGCAGCATACGTAGACAAGCAAATTTTAGTGCCAGAATATCTCCCAACTCTGTTTTTCCAGAGGACTGCAGAAGAGGAAGCCTTCTACCATTTGTAAGACACTTTGGAGAAGGATATAAACACCAAGAGAAATTCTATCTGATAAAATGTTCAACAAGTTTCTACTACCTGTCTTACAATGACTTTTACAAGTTGACATTGTTTGTAACACACTATTGATCTGTCTCATTATGGTACTTGTTTTATATTGTAGTCATGCATTTTTATTATAACAGTTTGATTACAATACAGATTTTTCCTTTCATTTTGTACATTTTAAATCTCAATTCCGTTTTTGATAGCATCTATCCTTTTTATCATGTTTGTATGCCTTTTATCCCATCATTGTGAGGCCCCTCGTTCCTCTCCATATATTGTTAAATTACAACTGCCATCATGCTTAACCAATGCTCATGCTGGAAGTTGTAATGCAGGAGCATCTGGAGTTTTATAAGTATTCTAGATTTAATTATAATAGCAATAGAATATAATCAACAGCCAAGACAACTGACAATTTGGGATCTTATTAAATATTTGCATCAGCAAGTTGGAAATATAATTTAGCACGGATTATTTGTTTGTGATAGGGTACCTGCTCTTTCAAGAAAGTAAAACATGGATCTAATAGTGTAAGCAGTCAATTTGATCTTAGAAATAGCTGCCTTCTTTCTTTCAGGAATATCATAGAAAACAAAGGAAGCTGGGGAGTATCTCATACTCGCGTCCCAACAGAATCTAGACCTGGACATGTAGCACTCATAGCTGGATTTTATGAGGATGTCAGTGCTGTTGCTAGAGGTATGCTGATAGGCAAATAAAATCTTTGTTGGTAGATTGTCATAACATTTGCTTGCTAATAATAAACTGATTATAGCTTTGATCTTAAAATACATTAACTTAAGAAAGATCCTGGAAACACAGATTTCTGCAACCATCTTCTGCTCCAGCTTCTTAGACGTAATCAGTTGAGCACAGCTGAATCCTGTAGGATGGGGTTTAGAAGGTTCCTGGGAGAGTGTAAAATTGTCCCCTACATCTAGTCCAATATTATTTGGGAGGAACCCTAATTCTTGGGGCAGTGGATAGGAAACTCTCTTCCAGTGAATTCGACTATAGCTTACTTAAATGTCTAACACAGGGGTCCTCCATTTTTTTAAGCAGAGGGCCAGATCACAGTCCCCCAGACATTTGGGGGGCTAGACTATAATTTGAAATCCATATGAACAAATTCCTATGCACACTGCACATACCGTATTTGTAGTGCAAAAAACATGAAATAAGAATACAATATTTATAATGAAGAACAATTTTAACCAGCATAAACTTACCAGTATTTCAGTGGGAAATGTGGGTCTGCTTTTGACTGATGAAATAGTCATGTTAGTTAGGATTGTTTCTGTTGTTGTGTACCTTCAAGTTGCTTCAGGCGTGGGGCGACCCTAAGTCTAAAGTTTAGGATGGGGGGTGGGTAAATGACCCATCGCTCAGCTGCACTGAAGGGCCGCATTCGACCCATGGATCTTAGTTTGGGGACCCCTGGTCTAACATCTCTTAATTGAATAGTTTAAAAAAGGGAAATGAGTTGTATAGGTCAATATTATTCCTTTAAGTTATTATTCCTATTATTCCTATATTATTTAAGTTAAGCTCATTCTTTTTTGTTGTTGTTTTTATTTCTGCATTGTAGAAAACTTGTCAAATACCTATTATTATTTTCTTTTCCAAAACAGTATCAAAAAGCTATGGATGCTTTTGAACATATTCATTTTGCAGAAATTACATTATTACAATGTGTGCTTGCTATTGGAAATAGTGAATTGAACAGCATATTTACAGCAGAGTTCCTTTCTCAGCTACTGAAAAGATAGCTCTCCCTGAGTTATACTTGGGAGTTGTATATATTGCCAGTTTTGTATGGAAGTTTGGGGAAAACCAAACCATGGAATAAGGACCTGCTTGCTGTATTGAAAGTATATGTACTTGGATGCTACATCTAACTGTATTTTACAATTGTATGCATATGTAAGTAAAACTGATGTGCGTGAGTCACTTTTCCGATATGTCTGTGCTGCTTTGGTACCTCTGTCACAGTATTGTGAGATCATTACTATCATTTATTTATATAGCTCTATTGTGGTACATGTTGTTGTTCATTCGTTCAGTCGTTTCCGACTCTTTGTGATCTCATGGACCAGCCCACGCCAGAGCTCCCTTTCGGCCGTCACCACCCCCAGCTCCTTCATGGTCAATCCAGTCACTTCAAGGATCCCATCAATCCATTATTGCTGTACATAGTATTCAACAAAACAGATCTCTCCCAGACTCACAAAGTAATGTAAGACTTTACACAAAAGAAAAAGGAATTGCAATGTGGGAAGGCATCAATTCCAGTAGATGCTTCCTCCTCCAAGGCCACAGAAGGGGCAGTTGGGATAGATGGGTTTTTGTCTGTTTTATCCTGGGAATGATAGTACTCCATCTGCCTCTTTTTCTCTCCCTTTGAGGCTTGGGCAGTGGCATTTGGGATGGAAGGAGTGCCTTTGTTTTCTTTTGGGCCTCAGCAGATCTGGTATTATTTCCATTAGACAAGCATAATAGTAAGAAGACTGTTTCTCTTGACTAACAGGATGGAAAGAAAATCCAGTGGAATTTGATTCACTTTTCAATGAAAGTAAATACACATGGAGCTGGGGAAGTCCAGATATTCTTCCTATGTTTGCAAAAGGTGAGCATATTTTAATTTTATTAGTTCTTTCTTTACAAAGTTATACTCTAACGGGAAATTGGAGGAAGTGATTTAAATTTGCATGTCCCATAAAAAGGCTATCCGAAACATGGCATTGCTCAAAATGTATTTCTTTTATTTTGGCAAATCTGCATTACATCACATACTTCTGTATCATGCTGTGCTGCATAATCAGCCATGCTGTCAAGGATTTTGCGTGTGTGTGTTTTAATAATGCATAGTAACTACAAAATGTCAATTGCTATATTGTTCTTATGTATGTGGTATAGCTTGATTTAATTAACCTGAAAATTGCCAACAGTGAATGCGCTACATTAAGGATTTTTTTTGCCATACCCATTGTAGGCAATATCATATTTTCTCTGTCTTTCTTTGTTAAGGATAAAATCTGAGGAAGAATTCTTTGAAATTGATAAGCTAGTTCACTGTTAAGTGAGTTTTAAAAATGTATTTTAATTGATATATGTCACTATTATGGTTAGAATATAAAATGTACATTCTTGAAATGTGATTTTGCCAGAGATACCAGATATTTCTTTGCTTATTAATATATATCCTATCTCTCTCTCTCCAGAGATCTTCGGAGAGTATGAAATAAAACAGATGTAGCACATTTAAAACAGGATGAATAATGAAAACTATTTTAAAAGGCTAAAAGCATATTGAACAAAAGAAAGATTAATAGAGTTTAAATAGTTTAAACATAATAAAATGATGTATAGCCATAGGTTTTTGGAAAACCAATTCGGTTGCCAGAGCTTTAGTGAACAACTATGTTTCAGTTGGTGCCTGCACAATGACAATGTTGGCACCAGTTGGGTCTCCATATAACTGAGGTCCTCCTATGGCATGTTGCCCTGATTGATGGAACGCAGAGGAGGACCCCTCTAGCTGACCTTCAGATGTAGGCAAGTGCCTACATGGTTAGGTGATGCTTTAAGTATCAAGGTCCAAAGCTGTTTAGGGCAGTGGTTCTCAACCTGTGGGACCCCAGATGGGAATTTCTGGATTTCTGGGAGTTGGAGGCCAAATCACCCAGGGACCCACAGGTTGAGAACCACTGGTTTAGGACGTTGGGTGTAATTAAACATATAAGCTTATTATAGATGTCTCTGAGAAGTATTTCATCTGATTAGTTTCCAAAATGACGTTGTTGTTGTTGTTGTTGTTGTTGTTGTGTGCTTTCAAGTCATTTCTGACTCACGATGACTCCAAGATAAGCCTATCACAGGGTTTCCTGGAATTTGTCCAGTGCATTTTCAAGTCTGAGCAGGAATTTGAACCTAGGGGGCATTCCACACAGCCATATAACCCAGAATATCAAGGCAGAAAATCCCACAGTATCTGCTTTGAACAGGATTATCTGAGTCCATACTGCCATATATTCCAGTTCAAAGCCAATAATGTGGGATTTTGTTCAGTTGTGTGGAAGGGGCCCTGGTCTGCAGAGTTATAGCCCAACACTCAAATCTAGTGTATGAAGGCTTTTCTCAAGAGGGACTGCAATTGTGATTTGAAAACCTAAGTCTACACAGAGTGAAAAGTTGATAGAAGAGAGTAGTGACAAATGGGGAATCTTTGGACTGTGCAAATGATGCAGAAGACCCTTGGGGAGAAGGAAACACATAGCTAAAATTTATACTGTTCAAGCTACATTTGCAACTTATGAACCTGAATAATGTGATAGACTTCAATGCATCTTATCTGCTAAATCAATTTATAGCTGACTGATTGGGTTTAAAACATGACAGTAGCTCTACTTTCATTGAATCTTGTCATTTCAAGTAGATGAAAATTTCCCCTTTTCTTAATATAATCCATTATAATATACCGCGCTGCAGAATATTCCATCATTTCTTTCTGCAGGACCTTAGTTATAAACTGAGAAGGATAAAACAGATTAGATGAATGTAACCCCTACCTCTTTTCAGAATACTTTCTTCTTGTAGAATATTGCTTTCTTAAGTGGGCAATACTGAAGCCATCAAGCCTGTTTTTTTGTGGTCTCCTCTGTGTTTTTGTGCTATTGCTGAATAAGGGTCACAACCTTCTCTTCCTCTTGTAAATAGCACTATGATGAAGGGGAATGCTTTGGTGGCAGTTTTAGCAATGTTGAAAGGGGGCATGAGATGGGGAGGTGGATGTGACTTCTCCAAGAGTAGCCAATATGGCATTAAAACCAATAAGTTGCTTATACCTGGCTTCTGCCATGAGTGTCTTGAGAAAAGATAGATCTTTAGAACTGCAGTGTTATTTAATTTTATAGGTTTTCCTATTTCATTGCTTTGGGAATGTGAATTGTATCATAGTATTGAATCATCATGTTCTTTATAATTTTTTCCTTGAAGAGATTATCCCAGGATGTCATCTTCTAGCTCAATCCATAGCTCATCTGCGTATTAAAAACTCAATTGGTGTGGTTGTTTTCCTATTGGACTTCCAATTGGTATTTACTTCTAATTTATTCTTGACATGAAGAATCTGAACAGGATGACCCTTCAGACTGAAGTTCTAGTGTGAGTTGAGCTATTTCCTCACATGTATCCCAAATTTTGAATAGAAAAGACAGGTAACATTCATTGTGTTAAATCACAAGAATATTGTCAGGTTATCGCTGGTTGAAGATAAAAGCAGGAGAAGTTTGTGGATCAAATGAAGAGCCCTAGTAGGCCATGTTTGACTGATGAGTCAGAGGATCTTGTCTCTATTGCTGACAGGAAATTAGAAATTATGTCAAGCTACATGTAGACACTTTCTTCAGGCAGTTTTCTCTCCTTAGTAATTAAAAATGTTTTGGTAGCATTCTTTAGTATTATCCAGTCAAGTTAGCATTGATTTAGGGCCCATCCAGACAGGCCCAAAAACTGGAACCTGTCTTGGTTTTTGCTGGAGGTGTCCAAACGATGCCTCCAGTAAAAACACATTAATTTGGAGCAAGCCAAGGGTTCCTTGGTTTTTTCTAAATTAATTTGATGCCCTATTAGATCTGGACCTTCCTGAAAAGCCCAGATCTAATGGGATATTGGGCCTGTGGGGGCTCATTTCCGGGTAGTCTCGGGATTACCGGGGGGGGGGGGGGGGGGGGTCCCATTGCCATCCCAAACCTTTTGGGCTCCTGGAGCTCAAAGGTGCAGGATGGTGCCCGCTGCCTTCTCCCAAGCTTCCCAATTTACCCTAAAAGTAAAGTAAAAGGTCCCTGGTGGCCATTAGTTCCTTCCTCGTTTCTTCCTGGCATGAGGAAACGGAGAAGGGGGTGAGGAGCCATTTTTATCTTCACCCCTCCCATCTCAGGTGTCATTTCCTCACGAATGCGAGGAGTTAACTTGTGGCGGCCAGGTACCTTTTACTTAACTTTTAGGATAAATTGGGGGACTTTGAAGTAGCTACATGCCATCTTGATTTTAATCAGGATGTAGCTACCCTCCCTCTTGGAAAGCCTGAGGTTTTGGGCGGTTGTGGGGACTCCACCCCATGCCGAAGCAGGTTTTTAAAACTCGCTTTGGCTTGGGTATTGGCACTGTCTGGAAGCGCCCTTAGGGTGAGTCTGTGAATGAGAGGCTTCTAAGGCCCCTTCTACACTACCATATTATGGCAGTATGGACTCATGAAATCCAGTTCAAAGCAGATAATGTGGGTTATCTGCTTTTAGAATTTGAATTATATATCAGTGTAGATCTAGCCTAAGAAGCCTGGACATCAACAGCCCTGTCCAGGTCCTACAAACTCTTCTTGTATTGAATCAGTTTACCTGTAGTGAATATTTTCCTCTATTTTCACTGCCTTCAATGTTTCTCATCATTATAATCTGTTCCAATGAGTTCTATATTCTTATGTTAGACTTGGACTAACCACCTAGGCTTCTAGAGACAATTTGGGTCTAAACTGCTCCACAACTAATTCACCATAAAGGTAACCATAAAACATTTCTGGTATCATGCTTCAAATTATTTTTGTCAGCTTTCTTTGGTGTTCATTATATACATCAGAACTATTTGACGAGGACGATTCTGACTTTGATAGTCATTTATGTATCTTCACATTTGGGGATTTTATCTAGTTCCTTCATGGCTACCCTTCCAATGCTTAAGCCAAGTTTTAGTGATTTTTTGGGGTATAGCTCCCATTTTGATTTATTAATACATTTTTTCTTTTAGTTATGCATTTAACTTACCATGTACTATATTTTATCTTCTTCAGGGAGCTCCTCACTATATGCATAGGAATATTTGATTTTATCCTCACAACTGTTTCACTTCTCCTTTTGGTGTGTGTGTGAAATTATATATCGTGTTACTAATAAATAAATAAACAGGATAAGCTAAGTGGTGGTTTGAATGCTGGACATTGTAAATTCAACACTCATCTATCACAATACACTGACTCACAGGACTGGAGCACAGAAAGAATGAGCACTGTCTCCTTTTACTCCATTACCCACTCCCATGTTAGATGCTTTCTCAAGATATGTATAATTTAATTTACCTATTTAAAAAAATGTGGAGCATTCTCAAGCTTAGAATTAGAATTACTTTGTTGATACTTGGTTTCTTTTTCTTGAGACACCTGGTTTTCATTAGAATTATGGTCTTTCCCCTTACTTCTGAATGAAGTACATTTTCAGTGAGATGCTTATCTAGTGATAATAACTCATTGTATGTTTGTGCAAATTCAATTGCTAGGCTAACAATGGTGGAGTATTATGGGAAAACATTTTTGCAATACTAGAAACAATTCAGATATAACCCTGATGCATTAATATATCTTCACAAATTATTACTATTACCATATACATTCTTATAGTTATGCTTATTAACTTTGTCTGTGTGTATGTATGTATGTATGTATGTATGTGTGTGTGTGTGTAACAGTATTTTTATTTCTTTAACTTTCAAAACTAGTGTCTTCATTTCCACTGCTTCCTTGCAGGTGCCACCGGGGATCACGTTTATATCAATTGTTACAAAGCTGAAAGAGAAGATTTTGCAGTGGAAGATGCAACTGTGCTAGACACTTGGGTTTTTGACAATGTTAAGGTGAATAAAGATATTTTTGTTATGTGTCCATAGAATAGGGACATAAAATGAGCCCTGCTAGATCACACCAAATATTTATT